CACATATACTAATATAATATTTTAGGTGTTTTAATATTAAACATCCAAATTTTATATTCTCTTATACAAAATAATGCAAATTTTATATTCTCTTATACAAAATAAATTTATATTGTTTCGACCCCGAATCTTTAATTTATAATTATTAAGTATCGTTTATCCTCCTCTTTAATTTATAATTATTTTTTTTATTCCTTTTTTTAAATAGGATCAATAGTAGTTTCCACTTCTGCCATTGAGTGACTAAAACTCGAGGTCTATTTATAATATTGTTGATTTAATATTGTTCCCGTGCATCGTATGGGGTACACACTAGTGTATTTTAAAAGTTGATAACTTTTGTATTTTTTATCGGTTTTACATATATAATATATAAAATTAATTATCTTTTGATGAGCTTCGATTTGACATCCATATTGTATATATAAAATAAATAATTATATTTATCTTTTATAATAATAAAATTATTTATTAAAACTAATATAGAAAAATAAAATTATTGTTGAATTAATATATTTATGTTTAATGTATTTATGTGTTATAAGTTATAAAAAATATTATAATATAACACAACCAAGTCGCACAAGTAACAAGTGTATACTAAAATATATAATAATATATTTTTTTTTGTAAAAAGTATTTAAATTTACAACCACTTTTTCTCATTAATTTTAAATTTAAAAAAAAAATTAGCAAGCACCCGTGTAATACACGGGTGTTGTACTAGTTGGTTCCTATATGCACATATAAATACCATTCGCCTCGACTTTATCAAACCCTCTTCACCCTCACACGCGTCTTTTTTTTTCGAAACGATAGAATTATATTAAACGAAAAAACACATAATTACAACTAGCAATCAACTAGAATAGCCAAGCAGCCAAATAGCTGAATCTAGGAGGCCTACACAAGGTAGCCTAGAATCGTCTACGCTAATACACTCACGATACAACAACAATACACACTCCCAACATGAGAATAAACACGCTCCCAAAAGGAGAATAACACGCTCCCAACGAGAGAATAACACAAAACTAACTGGACAAACACAACACAAACACAACAAAAGCACCAACACAACAAAAACACAAAACAAACAACACAAAAACAACACACAAACTAAAACAAAAGAAAACAACTCAAGGCCCTTCCCCGAGCAGAAGATCCAAGCCCGTAACACCAGCAAACCCAGGTCTACCACCAAAAGGACAAGACCGAAAACCGAGAACCTGCTCCCGAAACTGCCAAACGCCTAACTGAAGTCGGGACTACAGAACTCAATCCCATCCAGGAAGAAGAACCTGACCCATAGCCGGAAGAGCGACGATCCACATCCCCTCACGCCACCACCGTCCCAGTCCCGCCATCACCACTGGCCGCGGACCGTTAACGCCAGCCTCCCATGGACCCCACACCAGAGAAACAAGGGAACAAGGGAAAAATCGCAACTCCTCCGCCCCAATCGCCCCGCCACAGACCACACGAGCTACTAGGGCCACACCCAAGCCCCACTCCCGCACCACCACCTGGAACCGCCGCGAGACCAGGAAGGCCGACAAACCGCACCCTCGAACGACAACCTGCAAGAGGAGACACCCGGCCGCAGGGAGGTCAATAAGCTCCACCCCTTTTGGTTAAAACATCCAACCCAAATCTAGCACACACCCTCACACACGTCAACCAATTGATATTACTAACTTTCCAAAATTGCTATCAAGTCCCTTAAACATATCAAATTCTCATAGTGGCCCAAACTCCCAAATTCAAAATTCAAATTTTCTGCTACATTATCACCGGCGACGGGAGTGGCAGGGTTGTGGAGGCGACGTTTTAGTGGTGACGAGCGAGAGCCGACGTAGTCGGCGGGTGGTTTGTCTCGCCACCGGCGTCTGCAATGTCGCAGGTGCGCCTCCAGCGTCCGACTGTTTGCTGTGGCCGACTGGCATGGCTTGGTTCTTGTCGACTGCTACGTGACTGGCGGCTGCGATGACTGGTTGCAGACGTCAAATGTCAGAGGTTATGCAGGTACAGATGGAGGCGGCTGTGCGGCGAAGCTTCGGTGGTTGCTAGAGTCGAAATTAAAAGGAATGTAAAAAGACGTTCCCAAAACGGGTACTATCGGGTCAATTAATGTGGGCGCGAAACATATGGATGTCGGCGGAAAGCGACGGCAATATGGCGGACTGGTGGTCGGCCTGCCAGCGTTGTTGTGTGTATGTATGTGTGTGTGTGTGTGTGTGAGTGAGTGAGTGAGTGTGTGTGTGTGTAGTGTAGTTTGTGCGTCCATGTTCTGTTCCTGAGGTTGAGAAGAGAGAGAGAGAGAGAGAGAGAGAGAGAGAGAGAGAGATTGAGGAAAGACAAAATGTGGGGTGAAGTGATTTGGTGAGTGGGTCCCACTTGATATATGTATTTTCATGAACTTACCCTTAATTATTAGTCAAATGCGCATATTTGACCATAATATGATCAAATAATTACCAGATTATCATTAATGGTTGACCATAGTTTAATTTCATCATAGCTTAATTTCAAATAATTATCCATTCTCTCTCTCTCTCTCTCTTTCTCTCTCTCTCTATATATATTATTGGCAAATTGAATAACGTGGATTGTGTTGATTTGTGAGGACCGAATTACATGATCACTAACAGAATAAATGGATTTATTTTTTAAAAAAATGAATTTTTAAGGCCATCTTTAGCCCTTATCTCTACTCTAGAGTAGAGTTAAACAAAAATCAAGTTTCGTCTTCAACCGTTCGCATTACATTTTACTCCATATAAATATTTTTTCATCCTATTTATTTTAAACTATTTTATTATCAAAATATAATTAAGTTCGATATATTATTTTACACATACTTATTTATTTAATATATCAACATACAATTAATAAAAATAAAAGTACAAATAAATATAATAATATTTATATAAAGATTATTTTATTTACTAAAACATGTATCTAGTATTTACTAAAATATGTATCTAGTATACTAAATATTAACTAAGTTTGAAGAAAATATTCAATTTGTAATCTAAGTCGTAGATTAAATTATAATTTTTTTGATATTTATATGAACACATTTTTTCAAAAAAATATAATATTTTAACTAAAAAGAATAAAAGAAAAACTGATATAGGTCTAAAATTATATTATAAATTTAGTGGTATTTATTAATATATGTTTTCAATGATGTATAAAGTAAATCTGAATAAATTTTTCAATGATGTATAAAGTAAATCTGAATAAATTTTCATTACTGTATAAGTAAATTTGCCTTATTATATAATAATAGAGAAATAAAATAAATTATTTTGTAGATAAAATAATGATTTGTAGTATATGATATTGCACCGTGTAGTGGTATTTAAACTAGTACAACACCCGTGTATTAAACAATTAATACATTAACATGACCATAAATAATCAACATATTTATGGTAATTCAAACCTAATTATTTTTGGTTTGGAATTAAATTAAAATTTATCCAAGCCTAATAACGAAGAATGTAATTTTGCCACATAGGATTCCGAAGCACCAGAAGCAGCCACGTAGGCTCAACGCATTCTGTATTAATATATAGGGGGGATTAGTTTTTTTTTTTAATTGATTTTCTCTACTCTTATGTGTGGCATTTGTACGCAAGTTTTTCCATTTTTAGTTCTTTTTCCATCTGTTGAGGTTTTCCAATTTTTTCTCTTTATTTTTCACATAACAAACCACAAATCTATGCTAGGGGTGGGACGGAGCCCTGGCCCATGCAGGTGAGGGACATGGGCCAAAACTCTTCCCCAAGGCGGGTCACGACTGGTGGAGTGGCTAAATATTGAGGTGGCCACGGACCACCCTGCCCGTTGACCACGAGTCCAGGGTCGAATTTTAACCGTGCTGAGTTAACGTCATATATTTTTCGACCCTAGCCCAGGAAATCAACATAGTTTTTAATTTTCTTTTTTTGTTGGGTAGGGTGGATCCCAGACCCGGGTCGGGCCTGGCCGTTGGCCACCTCTTGCGATAAGGTAAATAGAGGCACAACATAATGTAGGTAGGTCTGGGTGTTCAAATACCCGACTCGACCTGCTTCATAGCCGCCCTTAATCACCGGGATATTTTTGTGATGACACTAGTTTACGATGCCCTGAAAAATGGTACTGCATTGAATTGCAATAAATAAAGGATTCGAAGGCATTGAACCGACTAAGGTTTCATAATTAAATTGTAACGACGATAAAGGATCTCGAGTTCATATGGAATTGATCCTATGTAAAATTATATACACAATAATTGAGGTTTCATCTGTTTGCCCCATTGAACACAAAACACAATTAAGATCAAGACAGAACAGAGAGATTATACAGCATCCTGCTCGGGCAAGACATCACACAGATACACCAAGGATGCACCGAAAGCCCCCAAATAATTAGAAAAAATAAAAAATAAAAATCGGAACAAATTGGGCACCTTCACACTCTGCATTATGCATGGACAAATCTATTGGAACACAGAGGTATAAGATGGCGTGCACCTTGATGGTTCATGAAGAACACTGATGACCTGCAGTAAGAAAAAACTTGTTACAAGGAGCAAACACTTCTCAATTACACTGCAAGCAGTGAGTTTAAGGACTGCAGGCCAATCATTCTTCTCACATAGCATGAGGTTCTAGCTTAACTTTACAAATAAATAAATAGGAAAAGATGTTCTCCAAGCTCAGATCTTCTTTCAAGTATCGAAAAATACCCCCTGCTGAGGTGCAATTTGTAAAGTAAAAACAAAGCATTGTAGTTCTTATTCCCTTATTAATGTTATTTGCCTCTCTTGTATTTCGTTGTTGTTAAGGTTTGGAGAGAGATTCACATATTGCAAGTCAAAAGCATCCAAACAAGAATAAGTATTAGCCATTCGGCGAGGCAGTGGCATAAGGTATGGTATGCACCAACTTTAAACTGGAAAAAAGAAGATTCTTAATTACCGCATTTGCCTTCTTCAAAAGTGATGTTCAAATTTGCCGGCCAAAATTGTGAGGAGAGGCAGCGCCTGAAGAGGGAAAAAACGGCCGTTGCACAAAGGGATGGTCCAAGAGCTGAGCAGCTGTTGGCCGCAAAGCTGCATCAACTTGTAGACATTTAAGTATAAAGTCCCTTGCATCACTCGGAATAAAATCGGGAATAGGTGGTCTCTCGCCCTTTCCTATTTTAAATAACGCTGACATCTGCCAAATCACAGAGAAAGACCAGTCAAACTTCAGTTGATGGGTCACTTTCAAGGGAAGGCCACCATAAACCATGCAGAAGCGAGAATTAAGTTTTAAGCAATAAGACTCAGTCACACATCTACTATTTATTTACAAAATTGCTTCGACAAAGGAATTGTTCTGGCTTGAACATTGGACTCTGCGTTAGTCGGATTAGTATCATAGGATAGTTACTGAATACAAAATTTCCTATTGTGGGTTACAGCAAAATAGATTATATTTACAAAACGGTCTCTTAATCATTGTTATTTCTCATGATTTTTCTTCCTGTAACGTGGTCTTCTACATAGTTGATGCTTTTACCAGTTAAAAGATACAAATTACCACAGTCCAGAACAATAATTCTGCTAAATAGGGATGTAATTAGCCGATTCCTGGCAGTGTACAATAAGGTTCCAATTAGTTTTACCAGCCTGGTAAACTGTGGGTGGCCACTATTAAGTGAACTGTGATCATGATTCAGAACATAAATTTTCCCAAATTAACCATATAAATATACAATGTGGATCATAAGCTCACCATGGGTAATCACGTATAAGAATTTATTCTTACGTAACAAAGCACGTACTAACAGAACTTAGAGGAAGTTCAAAAATCCAAGTTTGGTTTCTTACCCATTCCAAACCAAAGTAAGGAAACCGTCTGGTTAACATCTCCAAGACCGTACAACCAAGACTCCATATATCAGCTGCAAGGCCATACCCCTGGCTTCGAACAACCTGCATATAGATTGATCACTGCTCATTTTTGCACCATAAAAATTTCTTATTTACACATTACCCTCATCCATTAGCTTTGATGCAGAATAAAGTGTTAGCTGTCAATGGAACATGAGGATGATCGAATAATATGCAGAGGCCCATCCACAATTTATTGTTTCAAAGTGACAAGGCATTTGCATCAAATAATTTCATTATATGCAAGATTTTGATCCGAACATTCTGAAAAATGAATTTGTTATCCACATTACAAATTCATGGATTTTGTATGAAACACACTGAGTTAAAACAGCCTGGACCACGTTTCACAGAAAATCGAAGAAACTGCATATATATACACACATAAAAGCAATGGAATATACACACACACAAAAAGAGATGGAAGAAAAAAGAAGTTCAATGACCTTCCAAAATCTGCAGCTTAACCTCACCGCCAATAAATAAGACATCCTATTCTCTGGTTTCAATGTTATTCACCATCTTTATCAATTAAATAAGAGAATTAAAATCGAGTCACCAAATACGTGGGAAAATGAAAGCCTCCAATTCATGCAGGTTATTCACAAGTTTAAAATGGTATAGAGCAAACCTCAGGGGCCATCCAGAATGCAGTCCCCTTGCAAGACTTTGCATCGTTCAACTTAACCGCCTGTGCCATCACAAAAATTACAGCAATTTCAGTGTCATGAAAAGCACAGTGAATAAGAAAAGAGAAATACAAAGAATAAGGGAATTGAACCTTGGCAAGACCAAAATCTGCAAGTTTCACCAAACCGTTCGTATCCACCAATATATTTGCACATTTTATATCCCTGTAATAGATGAGACAGCATATAGGATTTAACAAGACTGCGTCAGTAAAAAATAAGGAAACCCATCAAGTTTGCATATGTAATGCAACTGATTAAGTTAATCCGAAAACTTAAGCAAGGTATTGAAGGTTCACACCAAGGAGCACGTCAGTGCAAACAAATTGTTTACTTCATTTTTATCAATTATATACTTGAACTTTCCTTCCATGGACTTTCAACTGAAACAAATGCTTGTTCGGATCAGCCTATTTTCTATTTTCCCATTATCTTATATAGACTACATTACCACATGAAGCTTAAAATGAACGACTTTCAGGTTACGAAGACATGGAAATATTACCCTTCTTTTACCAAATTTATGTAGATTATCATCTAAACCACTGAATGAAATGCATCACTGTGTCCGTAGCTTGCCTAATTGTCAACCAGAAATGCGAAAAAATACAGTCAGGATTAATCACCTGTGGACCACATTTCTATTGTGCAGATACTTCAAACCATGCAAAATCTGCCTTGTATACGCTGAGGCTTGTGAAACTCGGAGCTCGTATTTCTGGTATAGGCTCAAGAGGGAGCCTTTAGTAACTAGCTCAAGAAAAATATAGAGATGTGCTTCGTCCTACAAATAAGAATGACAAAGGCATAAGACAGCACGTAAAATGAACAGACTTTTAGTCCATCTCTCATTATTAGCAGTTGATGGGGAGAGAAATGGAAGAATGGGTAAAAGATAATAATATGATAACCTAACACAAAACAAGGGAAGCAAAACAATGTAATAATAGTACCTTCTTCGTGCCATAATATCGGACAATGTTCTCATGTTCAAACTGGCTTAGGAGAGCAATTTCCTAGAGACAGACAAAAAAGAAACAAAAATATGAAAAGAGTTGGGGAAGAACAGGATACAATCTGACACTGATCCATTAAGAGAGTCAATAATCTGGAAACATTAATTAACATGGAGAATAACCAGCATTATTATCAGGATTGCTATACCTGTTCAAGTTGGATAATGCTCTGCTTTCCCTCATCCCCTTGATCAAGCAATGATACTTCCTTGATGGCAAAAAAGAAACCGTCTCTGCAGCAAAGAGAACAGTTATAAGTTTACACCCAAAGGAGTCGCCTGAAATTTGAGTTTTCCTTTTTCCAGACTGCACAAGTTATGTGTTAAGTATTTTTCAAGATATATGCAGCATAAGACATGTTTTCCTCTCATCACCAGGGTTATCTTTCAATTACCAGGGTTTTCCTCACATGTTTTCCTCACATCACCAGGGTTTTCCTCACATGTTTTCATCACATCACCAGGGTTATCTTTCAATTACAATACATTGCAAAAACAAAATGAGCAAAGACAGAGAAAAATGAAAAAATAGAAATGAGACACACTCACAAAGATCAGTCAATATAAATCTTGAATTACAATTTTACAATCAATAACACTCTATCTCAGTGTTATTAATGGCGGATGGCGTAACACACATGGAAAGGCTGAATGGTTTTATGCTGAGAATTTGGTCATTCCTCTTCCGAAAGTACAGCTGAAAAAAATATCGGAAGAATCGCGCCACAATGTCAAATGTGCATCATCTATGTAAAAGATTATCACGTGCACACATCATCTATCATCAACTAAACTATGCTAACAGAACAACATTTTTTATTCATGGGGGGGAAACAGCTTTCAACGAGACTTTCTTTCTTAGCAGCATCAGCTCGTATAATTCTATCAACTAAACTATGCTAACAGAACGACATTTTTTATTCATGGGGGAAAATAGATCAATTCAAGCTAATTGCAATTAATCCACAAATTAAGTATGCCAGCAATGAAACATTGACGCAACAAATCCAGAAGTGCAAGCATACAAGTCGGAATAAGCACATTTCGTCCATGCCCAGAATCAACGATTGAATTGAATATATCATTAATGGTCTATCAAACATGTCACTTACTCAGAAATCCCTTCATAAACAGATCCGAATGATCCACGACCCAAAAGCTCTCCCTTCTGCCAATCCTCAATAACTCGCCTGAATTTCCCACTAGGTGATAAACTTGACATTGGTGTTGTTATGGCACTTGAGGAATCATCATAATTTGAAGTTGTGGTAAAAGAATATGACTCTGACAAAACAAAGTTCTCCTCCCCACTCATCACCGTCATTATGAATTCCTTGTCCTGCTCATTCCTACCCGGACCATTCTCCCCATCCTCATCCGAACAAAATCCTCTGTCAAAACCCGAAACACGTGCTTCACTCTCCAGTACAAATTCTCTAGAAGGATCCCAAGTAGAGCACAACAAAGGTGGTGGCACTAAAACTGTGGGCTGTACACCTTTAATAGCATTTCCTCTAGGCTCACTTGATCTATAATTTGCATTATTATTTAAAACAACACCATTAACCATCGCATCATCCTTTAGCCCCTTCGGTAGATCGCTAACATCACTGACAAACGCACCAGCCCTAATTCTATCCATATAAGCAAAATCATGATCTGAAACTCGAATACACGCATCAATCTCTGGCCCCATTTCCCGGTGAATTACATCAACCACCTCAGCGCCACCACCAACGGCATCACAATCAAAATCAACTTTACCATATGCAGGCTCGAAGTTCTGAGCGAACATCACTGGAGCAGAGATCGGGCTCCCCTTCATCGCATCAAACTCCTCCGGCGATATAGCAAAATCGTCAATTCCGGAAAATCCATACGTCTGGCAGATGAACTCGAACTCACCCTCCGTACCGTTGATACGGAAGCTCGTCTGACCGCCGGATTCCTCACGCGCGTGCGGCGATGCAAAGGCTGATGCGGAAGGCGACAGCTCATAGTCGACGTCCTTGAAGGCGTAGCTTCGGTCAAGACTCCTAGGTTTGGAGGCCTGGCGGCTCGAGCTGGTACTGCTCTTGCGGCGGTTCAGGCTATGGGAGAAGATTTTCGGTAATCGATGCATCCCCGGCGGTTGCAAGCAAAATCCATGTATCGATCGGCAGAATACCTGAGCTCGTCCCGGAGTAAACGGCCACCGGAGATTAATCTTGGTCGTTCTGATTTTCTTGCGAAATTTCGTGGCGAGCGACGAAGGAAACCGACAGAAACCACAACTGGAGACGGCGTCTGACAGTGGAAAAAGAGTCGCGAGAGTCAGTTGACTGCCCCACTGACCACTGATTGCTGATAATAATATCCCAACTTTACTAATATGGAGTATATTTTTTTATCGATATTTTATAATTATTATTATCTATATTTATATCTATCTATCTATATCCTCTCTATCCTTCCTCCCTATATATATTATTCCCGAATACGCTGAGCCTACGTGACTGCTTCTGATGCTTCGAAATCCTACTTGGCAAAGAATCATGCTTCATAATTAAGTTTGGACAAATAATATTGATATATTAATAATTAATAATTTAAGTTTAGACATTCCATAAATATTATTTAGCTAACTTAGGTATTTTAATATCACGTGTACTAATATAACCATTTATTTTTTTATAATTTTACATACTGAGGCACTAAGTGACTAATATATCGCTACTTTTGATTTGTTTCTTTCAATTAGCTATTGAATTATAAATGTATTTTAAAAGTCGATAACTTTTGTATTTCGTATCGGTTTTACATATATAATATATCAAATTAATCATCTTTTGATGATATTCGATTTAAGCTGCGCTCTCTCCTCTCTCTTCGACGAAATCACCCTGTTGCGCTCTCTCTCTCTTCAATTCCGGCCGGTGTTGCCTTCCTCGACATCGGAGTAAGCCTCGCTAGGAGTCGTCCTTAACCGACCTCTCCCCCCTGAAGTTGCGTGACTCTGGTTCCCCATGGATGGCAGCGACTAGGGTTCTTCCTCTCGGTTGCGGACGGGGTTTAAATCGGAGGCGGCGCTCCTCCCGATCGGCGATTGACCTGCTATTGGAGCTTCATCTTCGGTCGCAGGTGCTTTTCCGGTTGGAGGAGGTAAGTTCCTCTTTTTCCGGCCTCGGCTGTGATTTCAGGTTTGGTCATTCCGGCGTAGCCCCGTCTATCTGGTGGGGTTTCTTCCTCTGGTCGTCGGCAGACTATGGTGGTGTCGGGAGGAGGGTGTGCTTCGGGTGTGGAGGGACCCCGGTGGCTGCGGCGGTTCTGTTGTGGAGGCTGGGGTTGAGAGTTCCTTTTTCGCCCACCCTCCCCTGTTCGGCTAGTGGTGTTAGGTGGCAGGGGTCCAGGTGCTATTCGGCTCGTCTAGTGGTGTTAGATGAGTTCGGGTGGGGACGATGTGGGGGTTGATCGGGGCTCTCTCGGTTTAAAGACGGGTCGATTCTTGGGATTGGTTTGGGGTTCAGTTCGCTCTACTGTATAGGCCTTCTGCAGTTTCGGTAGCAGCTTCTGGGCCTTAAATCCTTCTTGTGTCGATCGTTGCACTGCTGGTTGGGATTCTTCGTTTGTCGGGGAAGGGCCTAGTTTGTTCGTTTTCTTTTTGTTTGTTGTTTTTGTTTTTGTTGTGTTAGTTGCTGTGTTTTAGGTTTGGGCAGTTGCCCCTGTCAGCCCGAGTGTGAACTTATTATCCTTTTGGGACCACACACTCGGGCATTACTCTTGTTGGGGCCGTTGTAGTTTGGTGTGTTTGTATGTAGCGGAGTTATTCCCCTGTTAGGGCCGTCTTTAGGCAGGCTTAGTCCTGTCCTCTCATCTTTATTTAGTTGTTGGTTGTGTATCAGTTAGTGGTTGTATTTGCACATTTGTGCCCTTTTATAAAATTTTGATCGTTCCGAAAAAAAAAAATGATCTTCGATTTGACATCAATATTGTATATATGAAATAAATAAATTATATTTATATTTATAATAATAATAAATAATAATATTTATTAAAATTCATTAGAAAATAAAATTATTTCTCAATTGATATATTTATGCTTAATGTAGTTATATGTTGTAAGTTAAAAAAATTATTATAATATAACACATGTAAGTTGTACAAATAAAAAGTGTCATACTAAATATATAATAATATATATATTTTTATAAAAGGTCTTTAAATTTTCAACTACTTTTTCTCATTAATTTTAGATTTTAAGAAAAAAATAGTTATTTTTTTCTTTACACAATGGCTAATACACATTAAATATAAATTAACTTAAGTTGAGTGATTGATTGATTACACGTACTTTGAATAACAGATTAGTTCAATTAATTTAATTATTATTTCATGGTTGTAGATATGAATTATGTTCATCGATCAGAAACACTTAAAATATATAATAAAATAATTGAAAAAGTTATGTTTGGATTATATTAGCTTAATGAATAATTTAAATTATTGATAAATTTTGATAAAGTGTATTCAAATTAACCGTCAATAAATTATAACTCTCTTGAATATATCTTTTGTATTGATAATACTACTTCAAAATTATATTATATATTAATAAATTATCTTTTGATGGTTGGATGAAACTAAGAATTATAAATTTCACTTTAAAATATTTATATACATAAAAACACGGTGTTAAAAAGTAAAATGTTTATTATACACTATTTCGTAAAGAAAAACAAGTAACTAAAAATATATAGTGAAGCAATAATTGAAATTTTATCATTTGGTAGTCATTGACATATACCGCATATCAAAATGCTTAAATTGTTTTCTAATTAAATTATTATATACGTTGTAAACATTTGAATTGATTAAATAAATATAGACACTTTTAAAAATAACTAATAAAAATATAAAAAATATTACACTTTTGATAATCGATAATTATATAAGTACATGCAAGTAATTTGTAAAAAATCATTACATTTTAAAAATATTACACTTTTATAATATTTTATAAACTAATATAACTAATAGAATTCATACCTACAAAAATAAATTGGAAAAATAAAAATAAAAATATCTAAATAAATATAAAATTATTACAGACGTGATATGTTGTGTATTATCTTAAATATTCGACAATAAAATATTTTTATACTATGTCCCGTGCATCGCACGAGTTGTAACACTAGTTATTATTAATATGACTATCAAATGGTAGGATTAATATATGATGGCAGTTAGTCACATAATATTTTGAGAAACAAATATACATAAAGGAAGATGTTTATTTTTGTGTCTGTAAGGAAAAGAAACAATGTGTATTTTTTAGATGGTACACCTCTAAAGGTGAATTTACAATGAATGACACAGAGGGCTAATCAACCCAATGAATCCACCAAGAAGGTGGACTCAAATGGTATGCTGACATAGCACCCTAGACAAACAACACAAACCAGTGTATTAAGGTCTATGCACCCACGACAGCGTTTCTGAAAGCTGGGAACCCCATCCAACAAAAACTAAAACTAACATTCCCACATGGGCAGAATAACTAACTCCAACAAAGGAGAATAATACAAAAACTAACATATCACACACCTAAAATAACTAAAAATATAACCTCTCATAATTCACGAGAACCTACAATAAAATCCCAACCAAATCCATAACAAATCAACCACATGAGCAATTTTACAAAAGTTACATGATTGACCCCAACACTCAAAGCTCCAACTGAAACAACGGCTAGAAAGCACCTCAGTCCAGGTCTGAGCTCTCGAAAATGTCAAACGGGGGAATAAGTTGTCCGAAGCAGTCGGGCTCAAAGAGTTGTGTTAGAAGAAACCAATCTCAAGCACTCGGAGGGGGACCTGTCTGTAGTGACAGGCCAACCGATAGTCGCCTACCTGAAGGGATCTGAAAAACTAAAGACCAAACCTTCGACCTCTGATAGGCACAAGATAAGAGACAAAATGGCAAAGCGTCGGCCCAAACCTGGTCGGGAGGGCGACACGACAAGATTCAGCGCGGACCCTCACCCACCGAAGGGCAGAGACGGGGCGAGCGAAGATGGTTGGATCTGAGGGTTGCGACTTGGTTGCTACAGATTTTTGGCGGTGGAAGGGGGGCCACGGGCTAAAAAGGAGGATTTTTTTTCCCATCGGCGAAAGGGACAGAGGAGACAGATGCTGAAAAGGTTGTTTTTCTATCTTTCAATTGTTCATAGGATCTTGTATCTTTTTTTTAATAATAAAGTTTTGATGAAACAAAAATAGTAAAATCTTCTTTTACTTCCTATTTATATGAGATTGGCTGAATTACGGACCCAACCGTTGGCTCTACATTAATACCGTAAGATACATATGAAATGTAAATTTTGCTTTAAAATATTAATATTTTCAAAGAAATGTGACCCAAGCTAAACAAAATTTTGTTTAAGATTGTTAAAGCCTAATGATATGGTTTGGATCGTAGGTGCTCTCTGGTCAGATTGGCTGACTACTCTATTGTTTTTTTTTATCCTCGACTTTACTCGTTCAATGCTCATTTCCTCACACATGTAGATAATAGAGAGTGTTCTATTTTATTGCATAAAATGTTATACTACAACACATATTCAGCGGTTTTGGATGAAAGAGACGCCTTTGCATATAGAAATAGTTGCAACTCTCCTTGATCTCGAGTAATTTGTTGGTTGTGATTGACTTACTTACCAGATTAGCTATTTTTCCAATTGCCATGAAATTCCAACATTTGTAGGGTAAGAGAGGTAGGTTGATCCAAACAGACACGGTTTTGATATCACCTTCCCCGAAGCGAGACAAGCCTGGTAGCACTTTTAAGAGTAGCGTGCGCCCATGGATTAAGTAGGAACCTCTCTGGAGAACCTTGTCTATAAGACAACTTGAGACCATTAGAGGGCTTAAGTTTTTCTGCAAAAAGTAGCCAGTAGAATTCCTTTGCGGCTTTTCATCGAACACCTTGTGAGCAAAAGTTTGTTGTGGGCTTTGGTTGGTAGAATCCCCTCCCAAGGTCTTGGCATCCCCTTTACCAAAAGCATACATGTTGGGGAACATTGAACATCACAAATAAGTACACGCTTACCCTTATCTACATCATCTCGGTGTTATGATGTTTCTACAACATTGGGCTGCTAAGCACTGGTTTCCTCCAACTTGGTACGGTCAACCAGCTCTGGTTCATCCTCTAATAAGTCCAGAATAATGGTGTTAATAAGCCTCTTCAAAATGGTCTTCTTCCCGTGTTTTCCCATTTCATCATGATTTTTACATTATCACTGTAGCTCTGCAGATATATATAGTTTTACTAACTTGAATGGTGAAGTCGCGCACAAGAAATGGAAAACGTACATGGATGAGAACGGAATAGAGCTTTCACCATCGATAAACTAGAATTTAACAAATGAAACATCTCCTAATGTGAGCACTTATATCTAACTTTGACCGACCTTGATTTTCTTGCCCCGGGCTTGTTACATCTTTATCTCCATACATTAATATTTGTCTTCAAATAAGTTGAGGCCATTAAAAATAACTAGTGTGGTACTTGTGCGATGCACGAGCAATTAATATTAAGGATTGGATTTAAGTTTGGATGACGGGATAATTATGCAGAACATAACACATATTTCTTAGAATAAATATCATTCATATACTATTAAATACCTCATTATATACAATATTGTTTGGTTTGTTTTCTGGTATATTGTCATTGCCACAGATTATTATCTTCAAACACTTACATTACGCAACACGTGAAACGACTACATAACTTATTGTGACTAAACATCGGTCTCTTCAAGAACATGCCAAGGTGTCACATCAGATGGACGTTACCCTGATGTGAGGGGATGTCAGATACCTGACAAGGTGTCAGAAACTTGAATTTCGAATTTTGAATTTAAGACCTGGTACTTAGGTCGAACGAGTTGTTTTGACTAGATAAGAAGACAAAAGGTGAGTTGACAGGTCGGCCAGCAGGTTGCGAGCTCAATGAACATTAATAAGGTTACTTGGTTTTACTCCTAGCTCGAGTTATCGCTACTCGACCAGAGTGGGGGGACCCAGATGATGTAGGATACCATACCAAGTCGAGTACGACCCAAAAAGCAGTATGATAGGACTGAGTGAACTGGCCATCGGTCACATAACGAAGAACTTAGAGATCATGCAATCAACAGGTCGATGGAGACCTCATAGATAAGTCAACATGCCAACAGATTGAGTCAGGGCTCTCGGGTAGCCTAGTGGAACTCGGCCTGGAGGCCTATAAGTCGATGTACGTCCTACTAGATAAACTTATGCGCTGAAAGTTGGAGCAACCTAGGTCAAGGGAAGCCGAGCTAGTAGCACAATTAGACCACTTAATAAGGCAAGCTAATGTGAACACACTACATAATAGATAAGAAAAAGTATAATTAAAAAAATAAAAACACGTTAATAAGATCACGTGACCTAACAGAAATGGACAGTTTGGACACCTTAGAAATAGGTAGCCAATAAAAAAAAGTAGCCTTTTTTTTTTCTTTTTGGATTAACATCACATTTTGTTCCACATTCTTATTGCTTAACCTATATCCTATATATTCTAATTACAAATTACAAAAGGCAAATTAAATGAAATATCTTTGTTATAGTATTTTTCAATTAAAAAATATATAAAAAATAAAATATCGACCACCTCAAGAGAGATTAATTAATAATTAACAAATAATCGAAGTGTGGAGGTTTCAAATTTCCAATTTTAATCTCGCTTTCTCACACATTTTCATATTTCACATTTACACACAAATTCTCTCGCCATTTTTTCTCGTCTGCATAAATCTCTCTCAAAACTTCGCCGCCTGCATTTTCCCTCTCACAGCACTGAACACGTTCATGCAATCTATGCTTGATTTCCACATTCCCGTCTTTTTCTCGCCGGTCAAATTTGGGAACCCCTTCGAATTGTAAACAATTGCCGTTTAACGAAATTGAAATCGACTTACTGAATTTGCTTTTCTGCTTGGCTGTTTTGGTGCGTCTAGGGTTTTCTTGGATCCCCTTTTCCGGAGGTACGATTACTCGTATTTTATTATCTCTCGTACGGCCCAGATTTCGGTGTAGCGTCTATGAATTTGTTTATGCGTTTTCTTGTTATAGGTATTTGCCAGAACCTACTACGTGGGGGCAATTGAAGTTGGAAGGTTGTGTTTTTGGCTATCTGATTAGCAACGTCTGCTTTGATATGGCGGGTAGTTTTTGATTTGGGTGATATCGGAAATCGGAAGAAAGGAAGTGGATTGGCAAGGGAATTTGCCTGTGGCCATCTTCAATTTTCGAAGAAAAAAATCGAGGTCCTGTTAAGTGGGTCAGAATGGAGTGAAGTACATAAGATTGTTTCCCTCTTTGTTTTGTGTTTTTTTTT